AATTTTTTTTTTAACATCTTTATTGGAGTATAATTGCTTTACAATGGTGTGTTAGTTTCTGCTTTACAACAAAGTGAATCAGTTATACATATGTTCCCATATCTCTTCCCTCTTGCATCTCCCTCCCTCCCACCCTCCCTACCCCACCCCTCTAGGTGGTCACAGACCACCTAGCTGATCTCCCTGTGTCATGCGGCTGCTTCCTACTAGCTATCCACCTTACGTTTGGTAGTGTATATATGTCCATGCCACTCTCACTTCGTCACAGCTTACCCTTTGAATGATACCAATTTTTGTGATTTAAGTTTTCCATTGTGACACAAGTAGGTTTTTATACATCTACAAAGATTTTTTTTCTCTACTTGTCAGGTGCATGGTTCAGTTTTTATATTTATTAGATTGCTGATTTTGTTGTTCAGATCTGTTATGTTCTTTTTTTTTTTCTTTAAATAGACCCAATCTTTAAATTGCTTTTTAGTTTGTTTAATACATTTATTTATTTATTTTTGGCTGCGTTGGGTCTTTGTTGCTGCGCGTGGGTTTTCTCTAGTTGCGGCGAACGGGGCTACTCTTTGTTGTGGTGCGCGGGCTTCTCTTGTTGCAGAGCACAGGCTCTAGGCACGGGGGCTTCAGTAGTTGTGACACACAGGCTCAGTAGTTATGGTACACAGGCTTAGTTGCTTCGTGGCATGTGGGATCTTCCTGGACCAGGGCTCGAACCCGTGTCCCGTGCATTGGTAGGAGGATTCTTAGCCACTCTGCCACCAAGGAAGTCCTGTTATGTTCTTATTAATTTTGAACTATATCATCTGTCAGTTTTCTGATGTGTTAAGCTCTCTCACTATGTTGATTTGTCAGTTTCTGCTTGTAATTCTGATTTTTCTTTGTGTATTTTTTTGCCTTTTGCTTTATGTATGTTTATATATTTTATGAATTACAATATTTTGAGGCTATGTTATCAGATATATACAAGTTTATGATTATTATAACTTCTAGGTGGATTTTTTCCTTTAATTATTACAAAGTATGCCTCTTCATCCCTATGAATACCTTTTGCTTTAAGTATTATCTGATGTAATATTACCCTGTGAGCTTTATTTTGGTTAACATTTGCATGTCATGTATATTTATATATATGTATGTTTTCAGCCTTGGGGATTTCATGTATATCTATTTTTTTTTTTTTTTTTTTTTTTTTTTTGCGGTACGCGGGCCTCTCACTGTTGTGGCCTCTCGCGTTGCGGAGCACAGGCTCCGGATGCGCAGGCTCAGCGGCCATGGCTCACGGGCCCAGCCGCTCTGCGGCATGTGGGATCTTCCCGGACCGGGGCACGAACCCGTGTCCCCTGCATCGGCAGGCGGACTCTCAACCACTGCGCCACCAGGGAAGCCCACGTATATCTATTTTAAGTATCTCATACCTGGATTAAAAATGCAAAAGCAATCTAATAATATCAGTTTTTTAACTGATGAATTTAATCCATTTAGATTTTGTGTGTGTGTGTGTGATCACTGAACATGAGTTTATTTCTACAGTTTCTACTGTCTTATTGCACATTTTTGTTTACTATGCTTTTGTTTTCTCTTTCCTCTTTCTCTGCTCTCTATTGGATTGATAGAGTTTTTCATGTTCCTCCCTATTCTTCCACCTCACTTCTGGTTTGGAAACTATAAGTTGGTAGTTACCCTTAAAATGTTAACACTCATAATTAACTGTAAAATTTTCTGTCATACTCTATAATTATTCAGTAATTCTAGCCTCTTCCCATCAACCACAGTGGTCTCTCATATGTTACCTACTCACTGAACACTCTATTCCACTATCCTTTAATTGATGTTTATAGTTTTAGTTTTACCCAATTTTAAATTATCAAAGTTTTTTTTTGTATAATCTAGCAGTTAATTAAATGTGTTAACATATATATTTTTTATCTTTGCCCATAGTTGTTTGTTCCCTTTGGTTAATTTTTCTTCTTGCTGAAATATATCCTTTAGTAGTTTTTTTTTTTTTTTCCTAGTAAGAACCTGAGTATATGTCTGTATTCCAGATAATGCCTTTATTTTGTCCTCACTCTTGAAGGATAGTTTAGCTAGATATAAAATTCTAACTTGAAAGTTACTTTCTCCTCAGCATCCTTTTTTTTTTAAAATCATCTGTATTTCCTGTTGACAGGTCTGTTGTGAGACTATTGTCCCTTTACAGAACATCTGTCTTTTTTCCCCCTCTGTGTATTAGTCAGGATTCTCCAGAGAGAACCAATAAGGGGTGTGTGTGTGTGTGTGTATGTTTGTGTGTGGATACTTGTTTTAAGGAATTGGCTCATGCAATTTTGGTGGCTTGGTGAGTCCAAAATCTGATAGAATAGGCTGCAGGCCGGAGACTGAGGAAAGAGTTGCAGTTCAAATCCAAAGGCAGCTTGCTGGTGAAGTAGAATGAGCCAGTGTTGCACATGAAATCTGAAGGCAGTCTGTGGCAGAACCTCTCCTGCTTGGGGAAGGTCAACCTTTTGTTCTATTCAGGCCTTCCGTTGATTGGATGGGGCCCACCCACATTATGGAGGGCAATCTGCTTTACTCAGTGTCTACTGATTTAAGTATAAATCTCATCCCAAACACCCTCACAGAAACATCCAGAATAATGTTTGACCAAGTATCTGGGCATAATGGCTCAGCCGAGTTGCACATAAAATTAACCATCACACTCTGCAAAATTGTCTTTGTATCCTTTATATTCTGTGCTTTCACTGTGGTGTTTCTAGGTGTGGATTTATTTATATCCCTGCTTGATACTCAAAATATAGTACAAATCTTCAATTCTGGAAGATTTTCAGCATTTATATCTTTGAATATTGCTTGTCCAGTATTCCCTGTATTCTCTTGTTCTGGCTCCTGCTTGATGAATGTTGGAATCTTATAATTCTTCCTCCATGTCTCTTAATTGCTCTTTTATATTTTAATTTTATTTTCTCTCCATGCTGTGTTCTGGGTGAGTTCCTCAGAATGGTCTTCCAATTTACTAGTTCTCTCTTTGTATCTAGTCCAGAATTTATTCCACCTAGTAAGTTTTTCTCATTTCTAGGGTTTCAGTTCTTTTCATATCTACCTCTTCTTGCTTTACACTTGCCTATTTTTTTTTTTTTTTTGCGGTATGCGGGCCTCTCACTGTTGTGGCCTCTCCCGTTGCGGAGCACAGGCTCCGGATGCGCAGGCTCAGCGGCCGTGGCTCACGGGCCCAGCTGCTCCGCGGCATGTGGGATCTTCCTGGACCAGGGCACGAACCCGTGTCCCCTGCATCGGCAGGTGGACTCTCAACCACTGCGCCACCAGGGAAGCCCCACTTGCCTATTTTTGATATACAGTTGACCGTTGAACAATGTGGGGGTTAGGGGCACTGACCCCTTTGCAGTTGAAAATCTGTGTATAACTTTATAGTCAGCCCTCTGTATCCACAGTTCCACCTCTGTGGCTTCAACCAACAGTGGCTTGTGTGGTACTGTAGTACATATTTATTGAAAAAAAAAATCCACGTATAAGTGGACCCACACAGTTCAAACCTATGTTGTCCAAGGGTCAATTGTATAATTCCTTGAATTGCTTTAAATGAATTTATGCCTTCATTTACCTCTTTGAATATTTTGAACATAAATAAAATCTTTGGTTGACGGAGCTGTAAAATCAGTTTCATCTGGAGTTTAATACATGTTTCAATTTTGATTTTGGTGGCTGACTTGTAATTTTGTTTTTTTAGGCCTTTTTTCCCCTACCCTCCAGCTTTACTGAGGTTAATTGACAAATAAAATTATAAGATATTTAAAACATACAGTGTGATGATTTGATATACGTATACATTGTGACAGGATTCCCCCACCGAGTTTTGAATAGGGGTTTTAACTTTTGGTCCTTCGTTGTTGATGTTGATTTTTCTCTCTTTATACTTCCCTCTTCCTGTCTAGTAGTCCCTTCTACCCAGCAGAAATTAAACTCCCTGCTGCTGCTTCCTGCTTCCAGTCCCAGAGATCAGCTACTCAAGTCCATAGGAATGTTTATTTTTTGTTTTGGAGTCTGAATCTGTCGCTTTTTGTTTTCCCTTACAATTTGGCTGTCATTGCTGTGGTGTCTGGAGCAGAGGGGTGATCAAAATGTGAGCTTAGTGTGTGGTCTTGACTAGCTAGCTCATGTGTTTTAAACATTTTTGCTTTACAAATGGCATAAGATGGATGATCTGACTGGAAAGAGTTAGAAAACAAAAGTAGTGGTTCAAATATTTAGAGTCTCCTGGTATTGCCTACACTGAAAATAAATTTTGGTTGATGAAATGAACCAAGGGGTTGTTTTTGCAAATCTTAGGCCAGGTGGATCCTCTCTCGGATTTTATTCTACTACCACTACTGTTATGACCACCAGGTCAGGAGGAAGTGCCACTTGTCTTGGTTGGCTAATGGCAGGATGATCTTGTCCAGATCATTTCATGTTTCGGTGTGAAATGGAGATTGTGCCATCCTGATTTACATCATTGGAAATAACAGCTGTGAAAACACTTTGAAAAACATTTTGAAGAGCTAGGCCACAGTGAGTGGTATTGTTATTAATACTCCTTGTTAATTCTCATTGGAGAGAGTAGTGTTGTGTGGTCCGGGAAAACGGTTTTGGAAGCAGGTGGATCTACGTTCTTACTAGTTGTGTGATCTTAGTGGGTAGATCAGTTAACCTGACTCATCTTCTTTAGAAGAGATAGACAGTAGCTGTCACTCCTCAGTCCTTTTACTTTGTTCTGTTAGCTTAGGATCAGAGGTCAACTTTCCTTTGTCTCATCTGGAAACTTCAGTAGGGCCAATTTCCATCTCAGAGTTAAATAGGGGACTTGAGAAGCCCAGGCACTTTGCCCTTTATCAACCCCCAAAGTGGTTTCTCTTTCCAGAGCTTTATCTATATGAAGCCATTCTCATCCCTGAGAAAACTAACCAATTGCATTTCATTGTTGTTTGATTCCTTGGCTACAGGGCCCTAGGACTTGGAAGAGGTTCGGAGGGACATGTCCAAGGGGCCCAGGGAGGCAGATCAGGCTCAGGGTGCTGGTTTCCTACCCAGCACCCTGTCCTCCTTGCCCACCACCTCCACGCTTCCTGAGGACAGGTGCTTGTGATGAGCACACCCACGGTGCGGGCTGTCTGTCCTTTTCTCTTCTTACTGTCATTCATGAGAGCTGCACCAGGAAGGAATGCATGTGGACCATGGAACCTCCAAAACGACAGAGGATTCAGACGTGGTGTGTAAGTAGGAACATCATTCCTGCCCTGCTGAGAGGCAACCGTGATTTACATGTAAGAATATGGACTTGGCCACAAGGAACCTGAGCGGGGAGCTCTGTGGCCTTGGGCTGGTTTGGGCTTCCTCACCGCTAACATGGGGATGTTGCAGTTGTGGATGCGGCTCAAAGTCCACAGCACAGGGAATGGCATTTTTTATTGCTCTGGTTGTGCCTGTCCTGGGGAAGGGGGCTGGTCCTCACTGCAGGGAAGCTCCTTGAGGGGTCCTGGGGCAGGGTCCTCAGGATGATTCTGCAGTACCCCTGACTCTGGTGTCTTCTTTAAAGTGGCCTCTTCAGTTCCTTCTTTGGCCATTTTCTAAGAATCTGACCAATACCAGTTCCTTTCTGAATTTAACTTGCTCTAAAGCCAAATCAACTCAGATGAAGCGACCAGGATCGGTGCATTTTCTTCTCTTGGTTCCCCATATGAATGAAGGTTATCGTTGCAAGAAGGTGGGACAGTCATATTTTATTCACTGCTTTGATGCTGAATCTTGACAAATATTAAAAGTGAAGAGTGTACGGGGAGGGGATCCCAACCCAAGCCAGGAAGCTTTTGAGTGGCTAGAAAAATCATTGCATTAAGCCATAATAAACATCAGTCTGCAGGTATGTTATAGTTTTATGTTTTTTAGAGAACATTTCTACCTGTAACTGCTTTTGTATTGGAGTAGGAAAGCTGGACCCAAATCTGAAAACCTTTCATCTGTTAGCCCTAATACATACTCACAAGTACATCGCAGTCTTGGGGAAGTACAATTAAAAGGCGTAATCCTTTTTTCAAGTCCTCAGGTTTAATTTTCATGATTACGGTAGATTATGAGGCATTCTGCGTCTCGGTCTCCAAGAGAGACAGCGCCTTCTCTTCAGTCCCTTTCAACAGTTGTTTATGGCAGTTTCAGCCTCTTTCTGCCTCTCGGAGGCTCTTTATTTTTAAAGCAAGGCAGACAAGGCCTAAAATTATTCCATTAAAGAGGGGCAATTTTTGTAATGGGACTTAGAGTGCTTTGCAGAAGTGCAGGCAAGTTTCTTCAATATCCTGAGCATTATTCGCTCATTTAGTTAAATGATGTTTCTAATTCCCTGGTAATTACGTGTAATGAGGCACTTTTTCTCTTCTTGATGAGACTTTAGCCTAATATGAGATGGCGTATTTTTTTCTTTTTTTTTTTTTCCATGGGGATAATTACCCCTTCCCAGGAAAAGCAGGGTTTGTTGCACAGAATATAGCAAATTATTTTATTTCCTGCCATCTTGACTGCCAGTAAATTATAAAATTAAGTTTCAGTGGTGCATTAGCACCATTTTGGAAAAAGCTCCAGACTATTTTTTTCTTTTCTTTCTTTCTTTCTTTTTTCTTTTCTTTTCTTTTTTTTTTTTTTAAATTCATGTACTGCTGTCCTCTGGGATTGTAGAGGCTATTATTCATAGAATAGATGTTTTTCTGCCAATTCCTAGTATTCAGATGTATTGAAGCAGCAACATAGGTTTAATTTTTCTGGCTGATATCCAACGTAGAATGTTCTTGTAAGCGTCTTTGTGTTCGAATAATTATCATCACAAAGTTAAGTAATATGTCCCTTCTTTCTCTGCTCTCCCCTCACTCCTCCTTTGGATGTCAAATTACCTTTTTTTTGTGCAGTGCTTCAATTAGATGCAAGGCAACTAAATTTGTATCACATGAAAGTGGTGACACCAACTATTAAAAGGCAAGAAATTCAGAGTTAATATAGTCACTCTCCCTAACTCTTGCTGTTGTTAAAAAGCAAATTTGAAGAGAGAAAAATATGAAGAGAACATAATTAATTAAGGACAATGTCATGTCATATTTTTACTGATTTTAGAATAGTATGTGTGTGTGCATGTGTGTCCATGCATGTGTGTGTTGTGTGTGTGTGTGTCTGCTTCTGCTTTTTTGGTCTTTGTTTCTGAAGAAGAAACATTTCTTAGGTAGCAGAATGGGATGGAAAGAGAAAAAGAGAGCCGAGAACTGGGAGTCAGGCGCTAGAGTTTTAGGCTCTGCCTCACCTGGCTGTGTGGTTTGGGCGTGACAACCTTTTCGAGCCTCAGTTTCCTCCTCTGGAAAATGCACGGGTTCCAGCAGAAGAGCTGTAAGAGTTTAGGAACCTGAAAGGTCTCCATTTTAATTAGTGAAAGGATCATGTATTGGGGTCATTCCAAAGCAGCCTAGGTTTGAGGTTTGTGTGTTGCATTACTTTAGTGGAACATATACCTGTGGCTTCTAATCGATGTCCCAATATTTTCTTTTTCTTGAGGATGACTGAAGACTCTTTCTGTTTGTCCTTTTCGTATAAATGGAAAACACCTGTTTGATGTGGGTTGATTTCTCCATGTTTCGGGAATGGGGAATGTTCACTGAAATGATGAGCCTTACTCACTCACGTGTGTCATCAACCTGCAATAAAAACCTCCCATCTGGGCTTCCCTGGTGGCGCAGTGGTTGAGAGTCCGCCTGCCGATGCAGGGGACGTGGGTTCGTGCCCCGGTCCGGGAAGATCCCACATGCCGCGGAGCGGCTGGGCCCGTGAACCATGGCCGCTGAGCCTGCGCGTCCGGAGCCTGTGCTCCACAACGGGAGAGGCCACAACAGTGAGAGGCCCGCGTACCACAAAAAAAAAAAAAAAAAAAAAAAAAAAACCTCCCATCTGGAGTTTTTATTTTAAGAAACTGCTGTTCGGGGTAATTCTGTTTTAGGGTATTTGTGTTACTTACTTCATTTTTCCCCTTGGGATCACCGAGATTCATCTGCTGCTTCCTGATGGAATGTGTTTGTCTCCTGTGCGTTCGATGACTCTGGTGTCCAACCTGGGGACCTGGCACAGGCCAGCACCTGTGGCCTAAGTACCCCTGTGTCACAGTAAGAAGTACACTCTACACTGGGTTGGATAGTGTCCACACAAAATTCATGTCCATCCAGAACCCATGAATGTGACCTTGTTTGGAAATAGGGTCTTTGCAAATGCAGTCCAGGTAAGATGTGGCCATGCACATGCACATGCAATTAGGGTGGGCCCTAAATCCAATGTGACTACTGTCCGTATAAGAAGAGGGACATTTGCGCAGACACACAGAAGGAAGGTGGAGGCAGAGATTGGAGTGATGCATTTACAAGGCAAGGGACACTGGGGGGACCAGAAGCTGGAAGAGGCAAGTGTCCACTAGAGGCTTTGGAGGGAGCACACCCTGCCAACACCTTGATTGTAGACTTCTGGACTCCAGAACTGAGAGTAAATCTCTGTTGTTTGAAGTCACCAAGTTCAGGGTAATTTGTTACAGCAGCGATAGAAAACTAATACAGGCTCTAAGGCACATTCTGATAATTCTGCATCTAGGTAGAAACTGCTGATGAAACCTTTTTTGTGTGTGATTAGTTTGACATATTTCTGTCACTTATAAACATCTATACAGATCTCAGAAAAGAATTTCCCCCTTGGGGGAAAATGGATCTGTATTTTTAATTTTTCCAGCTTTACTGAGATATAATTGACATATAACATGGTGTAAGTTTAAGGTGTACAACATGTTGATTTGATACACTTATATACAGTGAAATGATTACCGCTGTGTCATTAGCTAACACCTCTGTCACCCCACATAACAGCCATTTCTTTTTTTGTGATGAGAACCTTGAAGATCTACTCTCTTAGCAACTTTCAAGTATATAGTACAGTATAATAATCACTATGCTGTACATTAGATCCCCAAACATATTCATTCCTATGACTGAAAAGTTTCTCCCCTTTGACCAACATCTCTCCATTTTCCCCAAACCTCAAACCCTGGTAATAACCATTCTACTCTGTTTCTATGACTTTGGCTCTTTTTAGATTTCACACATAAGGGATACCATACAGTATTTGTCTTTGGCTTTGGCTTCTTTCACTTAGCGTAATGCCCATAAGGTCCATCTGTGTAGTCACAAATGGCAGGATTTCTTTCGTTCTCATGGCTGAATGATACCCCATTGTGTATTTGTACCACATCTTCTTTACCCACTCATTAGCTGACGGTCACTTAGGTTGTTTCCATGTCTTGACTTGTGAATAATGCTGAAGCGAACCTGGGACTGCATATATCTCTTCAAGATCCTGACTTCGTTTCCTTTGGATATATACCCAGAAGCGGGATTGCTGCAACATTTTAAATTTTTTGAGGAGCCTCCATACTGTTTTCCATATGGTTGAACCAATTTATACTCCCACCAACAGTGCACAAGTTTGATCTTTTCTCCACATCCTCGGCAACACTTGCTTTCTCTCGGTTTTTTGATGAGTCATTCTAATAGGTGTGAGGTGTTGTCTCCCTTGTGGTTTTTGTTTACATTTTCCTTATTAATAGTGATGCTGAGCATCTTTTCATGTACCTGTTGGCCATTTGTATTGACACATATTTTAACTGGTGGTTAAATACGGAGGGTGTAAGATGCCACTGGCCCATGTGGGATTGGCCAAATGTTTTGTCTGCTTGTCCAGGCCTGAGCATCCCCAGGGAGGAAGCCAACCCCTGGCCTGGCCTAACACAAGCTTCCAGTTGTTTGTTGCTACTTTGAGGGAACCTTGGGGGTGTTCAGTGGACATCTCAGGGGAGGTGAGGTCAGCAGGGCAGGCTTGGCTGCCCTTCGTCCTTCCTGACTTTAGTCTTTCCACCTGTAAAATGGAACTACTAACGCACTAAATTGTGAGTGAGCGTCAGGTGAAATCAAGAACATGTGATTTAACTCTGCAGTGAGCGCGGTAGATAATTGTCATTGTTGTTATTTTGATTTCATGTTGGTAAGCCGACCCCCAGGCTTTGAAATGGATACCTGGAGACGAATCGGTGTTGTAATCTCAAGTTACAACTCTGGAGAAGGAATTTTTATTTGTAAGAATGAACAATGGTAGAGGAAACCTGTGTCGCGCTGAATTCAAGAAATGGGACACCTGGCCACTGGCATTGGGGATGCTTCCAGCAGATTTGGCAACCTTTGCTTGAGTTCTTGTTCACTGCAATGACCACTGACCACTTGCTGAGACATCTTCACCAATGTCCAGGTGACCCTCATGTTGTTCCTTGGGTGGCCGAGGGTGGAGGCTGAGGGAGCAGGTGAAAAGGGGGAGGGCTGGCAGTTCCTCGTAGCGTAGGAATCAACACAGATTTGAATATTCAGTCCTAAGGGTTATAAATAATGTGAGTTTTCATTGACGGGAAAGCAGTGCTACATTTAGTACAATAATTAGTTATTTGATTACTTTTGTTTTAGCCTGAAGTAGAGGACAATTGACAAATGTGAATACCTCTGAGACTGATGGGGCACGGTAAACTAACTTTATTTATTACAAAATGCAATTTTATTAATATGAATTGACAGTAATTAATTTGCTAGTGTTGATGTTGTTAATAATTGCATGTAATTTATGAAATATTCATGCTAGAGCAGAATAAAATAATGCATAGGTCCTCTGGCTTATTTGTTTAAAAGGCTGAATATTTCAACAAAGCTTTTCGAATTCAGTGTATTCATATTACAGTGGCTTGAAATCCCACAAAATAACCATAAATATTTGGTTGCATTGTGCCTTTACATTCCTTATTTTAGCAGTTCTTAACTTGACTTCCAGGCACTTCCAGGGATACTGTGACTGTACCTCAGCGCACCATGACACTCCTGAAATTAAATAGGAGAATGTAATTTTTACGAGCATCCTCCAAAGATAAAGTACTTACCGCTGCACTGTCTATCTTAATCTTCATAAAAATTCCAAAAATAGCTATTTTATTCCCATTTCACAGGTAAGGAAACTAGGCTATGAGTGGAGAAGCCTTGGTTCTCGGTAGCCGTGCAAGGTCAAGTGGCAGAGGCAAGCCTCAGCCCGGGTCCTCTAGCTCCTCAATCCAGGACCCACAGAGTGAAATCTAATTTTGCTTTTATTCCAATTTTTTTTTTTTTTCTGAATGAAAGTATGGGCTGTTTCCCCCTCCTAATTCAGTTTGGCCCTCTTGTTCCTAGAAAAGGATTGTAATTAGAGAGAATCACAATTGAATTGAGCTAATGCGATCAATGACATAGGAGCTGGAGTCTGTGACCTGGCTCTGTCGAGGCCTTTAGTCACTGTCTCACTTCACAGGCCCCTTCCCCACTCTGCGGGCTGCAGCCCCGGGGCCCCAGGGCAGCTGTGTTTAGGGGGCAGAAGAGGCAGCTGTTGCGTTCTGGAACATGTGCCCGGAGATCCTGGCTCATTTCTAACTCCCTGGGCTGACTTCACAGGCCTGCAACCTGTTCCCACACTCAGAAGGGCCCCTGCATCTGGTTTCCTATTGTCAGCATCCTGAGATTCTGAATCACTTTTAAACAGCAGACCCCACGTTTTCATTTAGCACTGGCCTTGAAAATTATGTAGCTGGTTCCGCGCTCCCTCTGGAACTCGGAGACAAGTCGTCTTGCCCCTCTGAGCCTCAGCTCTTTATCTGAGAAACGAAGATAGGATGTTTTACTCCACAGAGTTCTCAAGGGGTTAAGTGAGAGCATGCCCATGAATGCAACCCACGGCCAATGCCGGGCATCTGTATTAGAGACTGTCTTCCAGCATCAACATCTTTCAGGCCTCACTGAGTGAGCAAGCGCTGGAGCTTGTTCCAGAAGGAGGGCAGCAGGGAGTCTGAGTCCAGTCCAGGCCTCTTCCTGAGCC